TCATGATAAATGAACACTTTTTTGTGGTTTTTTGAAAGAAGATCTGGTTCAACAAGAAGGGAAATATTGCATTCGGGACTCTCTTATTTATTTGACTTTCAAAGATCCGCAACATCTCCCAAGAAATTTAACCTTGACTCAACAACATCAGGCCAATCATGGCCAGCGTGATAAATCAACTTTTGGTGCTGATGAGGGCGGAAAAAAATCTTTTACATCCAAAGTGTTGCAGTTGCTAAACAGATTGGATTGATTTTGTACTTTGGAAAAATAACAGAAACAAGGTGCTCATGAAATGACTGAGGGGTAACCTTTTGATCATTTAAAATTACTTCATTATATTAATAGGCAAAACGCAATGACTTTGAAATATCTGCTTACATGTCCAGGCTTTTGCACTGTTGCCCATGTTTATATCTCATTGTATAGGCCAGTGTCATTCAATGGGGTGTTTTGCTTGGGATTTCTTGGTCTGGGTTGGAGCTCATTGAAGGTCAGGACATAGTTTTCTTGTGCTCTCAAGCATTTTTCTCGGTAAATACTTGATATAAAGTGGGTTTCAGTCCCAGAATGAAGTCGATGGTTTGAAGATGCAGCTGCTGTCAGGGAAGCTGAAATGACAGGTTTTTTAATGCCAGAAATCCCATTCTCGTACTTCAAGTTGTTGAACTCTTGAAGCTCATCTAAATCCATGGCTGAATCAAGTTTTGTATCCTTCTTGCATCTTTTTTTTTTATTCAAGCTTCAGGTACATGATAGTCCAATTCATTAGATCAAAGTTGTCCTTGAAACTCTCTTTCTCATCCTTTCTGACTGGGTTTAAATTTTTTTCTTGAATTCATTACTTGGTTGGTAGGATTGTGGTTTTGAGGAGCAATATCACTGCCAGAAGTTTGATTTAAAGTTGTTGAATTGGAGGAAAGACCAATTACAGGAAGGATTTCTTGATGAACAGTGGCCGGTACTTTCAGTGATCCCTCTGCCTTCTGGAGTGTTATGATCCAGTAACCCCCTCTGGGACTTGCAAGGGGTGACCCAACTGGGGGATTATCTCCAGCCTCCGCAACTTTGTACATCCCCCAGTTAGCAATCTATTATCTACATTATTAACCTTGAACATAACATGGAGCCAGTTTGACATCAAGTTGTTGTTCTTTCCTACGGCTTGAAGAGATTTTTGTTTGTATTTTTGTTTTGATGTCTGGGGAAGATTTCCAGAAATCAGGGTTGCTGAGTCAGTGGTAGGATTTTTGATTGGAATAAGGTACTTAGAGCCTCCCAATATCAAGATCCTTTGTTCTGGGTTGTGGCTGTAATTTGAAAACAAGATCGGCCACAAAATCTCAGCAGCAGCCTCAGCCTCATCATCACTTTATTGTTCTCCATCTTGGCACCAGTCCATAATCTGTTGTGATTCATCAATTAAAGAAATTTCTTTCTCATATTCTTCAAAAATGGCGGCTTGGTCTCTTTCCTCAATGATACTAGGTATTTCTTCATTGTTTATGGTGAGGCTTTCATCCATAATTTCCAATATTGCATCAGAAAAATCATTGCATAAAAATGGGTTGACAATTTCTTGGGTCACAACTTAATTGGAGTGGGTAGGTCTTGTTGGTTTTTGTTTGAATGGCTGGGATTCTTTTGCTTTTGATTTCAACTTGGTCTTTCTTCTTGTCCTCTGGGCACGAGAAGCCTTACCAACCACCATGGCAAAGCGTTTGGTAGACAACAATTTAGTGGTTTCTTGAGTGGATTTGAGCTGTCTTACATATGTACATACAGTTTCAACATTGAGCAAGCTTCCCCATTTCATTCAAAAATAATTGGAAATTCATTGTAGTACATTTCTTGAGACAATATGGCCATTTTTTTCCAAATCTTGGGCAGCCTCAGCCAGTTGACGGCTTTTGTAGGGCCCTGTCACACATCAAACATTGGGCTCAGATTTGAACCAAATGCTGCTTCAAAAGCACACGCTATTTGACCAAACATCTACTTATCCACATCGATGCAAGACACTCAGCCAATGAAAGCTCAACATTCATCAAATCAAATGCAATCACACATTTTGAACTTTGACTTTCACACCAAGGAACTTTCAAAGTTTACTCAGCCACTCAGCTCGGTAACTCCTTCCATTCCCGGCTAGCACAACAATAACCCCTTCCGTCTGTGCTCAGCAACTAGTCTTTGACATAACCCCAATTTTTCAAATCACTCCTTGATCTCAGCCAGCAATAATCCCTTATCACCTTTGAATCAAATCCTGACATTCAAGTGGATCAATTCATAGCCTACCTTGCCTCTACTTTCATATATCACTCCTCCTGTGCTTCAACCCTTCACCCTCATCTCCATCTTTGAGCTTGTACTCTCTTTTTGCCTATATAAGCTCTTTTACTTTGCTCATTCTTTTCCCCTTTTCCTCAGTTAATTAATATTGTGGATTTTGCACCTCAAAATTGGCAATATCCATTACCCTGTTGGTGCCTTTCCTTAAACCTAAGTTATCCACCTCTGACAGCATCAAACTTATACGTTATACATCTTTGAACCTTTTCCTTGAACTTGAATTAGTTATCTTCGAGACAACTCTGAGATACCTCTACCTTCACCTGCAAACCTTTCCTTGTGCGCTTTGTCCAACCAAATCCCCTCTAGTAAGTTGGGTTGGTCGCATGACAGGCCCTCAAAAAAAAAGAAAAAAAAATCAAAAATTTGGAACACCCCTTGGAGGTGTTGCACACTGTATTCAGCCTCTGAGTTGCCACCAAAAATTCCATTCACAATGCAATAAAGGCTGTGCAACCCTGCATGCACCTGAATATATTGCTATGCAGTCTGATAAGC